CTTGTATTCTGTTATGCTTACTTCTGAGTACTTATTCCGCTGCAAGTAGTTCTTCGCTAAGGAATTTCCTCACCGGAAAATTCCTCAGTGAAGAATTCATAAAAATCGCCTATTCACCCCCCCTCTAGTCGATATAACGCACTTTCAACATACAAATCCTGGTCCATTTGACAAGGTGATAACGTTTCCTGCCGTTGGTTTCTTGCCAGAATTTTTTTTTACGATGTTTGTCTAGTTTGTAGATCACCATCTTAGGAAGTAGGAACATTGCCATGTAGTAATAAACAATACTTGACAGAGAGGAGTTCAGGAGAATGAGTCTCCCCCCGATGAAGCAGCATTACCAATCCAAGTTTCACAACATTTAAGGAATTTATCATCAACAAAGTTCCAGTCCAGGTTACGCAAAGTTGAGTAGCTCACGGGGACCCCCAAGTATTTCATTGGGAAGTGACCAGTTTGACAGTTAAAGATGTCCGCATAAGTTGCCAGGATGTTGTTGTCTCCACCGACGCACAGGATTTCACTCTTAAGGAAGTTAATCTTTAAGCCACACATAAGTTCGAATACGTATAAGAGAAGTTTCAGGTTGACAATGGCTTCTTCATCATGTTCAAAACAAATAACCGTATCATCGGTGTATTGCAGAACAGCAACACCATTTTCAATGAGGTCTGGCGCTAACCCAGTTATCATCTTTTCCTTTTGAGCATTACGAATCATCTTAGACAAGGTTTCCACCGCAAGGTTAAACAAAAAAAGGGGAGTGAGGGTCGCCCTGGCGCACCCCCTTGTGGCTTTGGAAGTAGGGCCCAGTCACATTATTCAACTTAATGCTGACCGTGCCATTAGTTAGAATCTTCTTCACCCAACCACACCAGGTTTCACCAAAGCCTCTATTACTATGACATTCAAGGAGAAAATCCCAATTAATTTTGTCGTATGCTTTTTCAAAGTCCAGCTTCAGGACCACCCCAACTTTCCTTTTATGGTGTGTGAGATGTAAGATCTCATGGAGAGTGAGGATCCCATCCATGATATTTCTATGCTTAATGAAAGCATTTTGGTGTCTGCTAATAAGCTTATCAGCAAAGATGGCTGCTCTATTGTCCATCACTTTAGTGATCAGCTTGTATGGACATCTAAGCAAGCAGATGGGACGGTACTGTTGTATTTTCTTAGCACCATTGGTCTTGGGTATCAGGGTGATCACCCCATAATTCAGGCGCTCCACATCCAGGGTGTTGTTGTGAAAGGCGTGAAACAAACACATAATATTTGTTTGTCCTATGAGTTCTCTCTACTCCACCTCATCATTTATCCTATGTGGCACTACTAAGATAGCATCATTGTACATGCCCTGACATGTCCGATGGCGTTTTAGACTCCCAGTGTCGCGACGGGTGCCCATCCCTCCTCAACCCCATCACATACATTAAGTTCAAGAAAACCAACCTCTTCATTCTCGCACCTCACGCCAAGCTTGAGATCACCCTGTTGATCCATGAGTACCCCTGCTAGTTCTCGCTAGTGGACATCATCAATGGATCACATTAGTTCGTGCATGAGCCCCCTGTTGTCGTAGTGCGACGAAGAATAGCTCATGAAGAAGAGGAAGATGCTCTTGGAGAGTTGTGAGTTGGTTAGTGTCTGATCTTGCACCGTCCGCAAGCATGCATGGGTTGATACAAAATCTAGTGAAACCAGATGATATTCAGAATATTCATAACCAAAATGATGGAATTTAACAAAGTTCAACCAAACAAAAGGAATTTGCTAAACCTAAACTAAACTAATTGAGGTACCAGATGATTACCTCATAGGTAGGGATGGCAGCACCACCACCTTGCCGCGCCATAAACGGCGGGATGGGTGACGTCAGCTCCTCCTCGATGTGCTGTCGGGGTGGGGGCATCGGCTCCTTTTTGACGCTACTCAGATTTGGATGCAGCAGTTGGGCAACGCCGGCCCGCGGTTGAAGAGCGTCGCTCGAGCTACCGCACATACTTGTCGTCCATCCACGCGACCTCGGTAAGGAGAGCACCACCTCCGTCTTGACCGTCGGGGCGGTGGACCCCGATGGGCCTGGGGACCGTGGGGCAGCGGTGCCATGATTCGAATCTTCCCCCGGATCCTCCTAACAATATGGACTTGGCTATCGCGACAGTGTGCGGTAGAGAGGAGAGGCGAGGCAGTGATGCGAGGAGGAGATGTGGTGGCATTTGTCGGCGCGACCAACCTGCTTAAATAACCGGGGTAGGCGGGCCGGCGCTGCTTCAATACCCATAATTATGAAGATACTTATGTATGGGCAAAAGAAGCCACAATTTAAGCCCTTTTAAATAATGCATTAAAAACATCTTGAATATTGAAATTTTAGTCCAATTTTAAAAGTATTCACACGTCTTTTTAAAAAATCAACTACTTTTAAAAAGTGTTCATAGATTAAAAAATGTTGACCTATTTAGAAAGGATGTTCTTGTAATTTTAAGAAGTGTTCATGTCTTTCAAAACCTGTTCATGTACTTACAAAAAAGATTCATGTATTTGTCAATAAATTTTAATATTTCTTTTAAATAAAATATTTATATAAGATAAGAAAATGGAACAGAAAGAACATAAGGTTATACAACTATAAAAGTAGTACAACATATGTATTCAGATGACACAATAAAGTTTAATTACATACTACAGATAAGAAAAGACGACTAGGAATCTGCTAATTCTCTCCTCCAAATAGTATACATACACACACAACCACAACCACAATATATCACACATCTATCCTATCTTTTGATTGATTTTGTGTAATATCCTATGGACACGAGGTGCCCATACATCACCTGGTTCTACGTGTCGGACACAACCAGCAGGCGTCAATGGCTACAATCCTCTGAAGGCATGTACAATGGTTGATAAGACTGTCTTATCTTAAATCTTGCATGTAATTTAGATATGACAAAAAAATATGTCATATCTTAGCGATATCTTCAATAACTAGCAATTCCTTATAATATGGTGAGACAAATTATGCAAAGAGATCATTTCTTATCCTATCTTAAATAAGAGAAGACAAACCTTTTCTTATGAGTTCTCTCTCCTCCACCTCATCATTTATCCTATGTGGCACTACTAAGATAGTATCATTGTACATGCCCTGACATGTCCGATGGCGTTTCAGACTCCCGGTGTCGCGAAGGGTGCCCATCCCTCCTCAACCCCATCACATACATTAAGTTCATGAAAACCAACCTCTTCATTCTCACACCTCACGCCAAGCTTGAGATCACCCCGTTGATCCATGAGTACCCCTGCTAGTTCTCGCTAGTGGACATCATCAATGGATCACATTAGTTCGTGCATGAGCCCCCGTTGTCGTAGTGCGACGAAGAATAGCTCATGAAGAAGAGGAAGATGCTCTTGGAGAGTTGTGAGTTGGTTAGTGTCTGATCTTGCACCGTCCGCAAGCATGCATGGGTTGATACAAAATCTAGTGAAACCAGATGATATTCAGAATATTCATAACCAAAATGATGGAATTTAACAAAGTTCAACCAAACAAAAGGAATTTGCTAAACCTAAACTAAACTAATTGAGGTACCAGATGATTACCTCATAGGTAGGGATGGCAGCACCACCTCCTTGCCGCGCCGTAAACGACAGGATGGGTGATGTCAGCTCCTCCTCGATGTGGTGTCGGGGTGGGGGCATCGGCTCCTTCTTGAGGCGACTCAGATTTGGATGCCGCAGTTGGGCAACGCCGGCCCGCGGTTGAAGAGGGTCGCTCGAGCTATCGCGCATACTTGTCATCCATCCACGCGACCTTGGTAAGAAGAGCACCACCTCCGTCTTGACCGTCGGGGCGGTGGACCCCGATGGGCCTAGGGACCGTGGGGCAGCGGTGCCATGATTCGAAGCTTTCCTCGGATCCTCCTAAATAATATGGACTTGGCTATCGCAATTGTGTGCAGTAGAGAGGAGAGGCGAGGCAGTGATGCGAGGAGGAGATGTGGTGGCATTTGTCAGCGCGACCAACCTGCTTAAATAACCGGGGTAGGCGGGCCGGCGCTACTTCAATGCCCATAATTATGAAGATATTTTTGTATGGGCAAAAGAAGCCACAATTTAGGGGCAAAATAGAAAATAATACCCTCGACGCTGCAGAATCGGGGGAACGATCGAATCTGGCGCGTCGTCTCGAAGGCTCTACTCTACTCTGCAGGTTGGTTCTCTTCTAGTCTTCTCCCCTTCTTCCTCGCTCGCGCCGCCGCGCCGCTCCACGTCGACGTCGGTCTGGCACCTCCCCGCCGCGCCGTCCGGGATCTGCGCCACCACCCACCGTGGCGTGGATGCGGATGGGGAGAGAGAGAGCGAGAGCGGACGGCCAGTAGCAGCTGTTAATAACGTCCTCGCGCGCGCCGCCGCCGCCACCGCCGCTCCCTTGCTCTGCCTGCCCCGGTCTGGGAGAGGGGGAGGTTGCAAGCCTGGCGACCGAGAGAGACGAGGGAAGGTGGCCACGCGCGTGTTAGATGGGCCGAATTTGATGCTGCGTGAGGGGTGGGAGAGCAGAGTGTGTGGTTTCAGATTTGTCTGCCGCTGCTGCTCTACTTGTTTCAATGCCGATAGCTCTTGTCCCTGATGCTCTTATTTGTACTGGTTTTTATAGATTCTCCATCACATCACATCCAAACGAGCCATCGATCTATGTGGAGTGAGGTATGCTTTCAGATTTGTCTGCTACTGATGCCGCTGCTGAGAGGATAAGGAGTGAGAGATAACGAGGAGAAATTTATGCTACTTGCTGATGCTCTTGTTTGTTTCTACTGATTCTGCAGCTTCGTTCTTCATCACAGCCAAATGATTGAGCCATCGACCTACTGTGTGTTTGGGGAGAGACAGACAGACAGAGGTTTGATGGCTGTATGGAATCGATTTGACAAAATGTAGGTGTGTGACATCTGCCGAGTGAGTTGGACTGCACAAAGAAAACCTCAACAACCATGGCGGAGGCTGTTGTCGGGCAGCTGGTGCTCACGCTGGGGTGTGCGCTGGCAAAAGAGGCAGCGATCTTTAGCGGGGCCCTGCTCGGCAAGGAAGCCTCTGCCCTCAGGGGCCTCTTCGGCAAGATCCGTGACTCCAAGGTGGAGCTGGAGAGCATGCAGGCCTACCTGCAGGAGGCAGAGCGGTTCAAGGACACCGACAAGACCACCGTCATCTTTGTCGGCGCGATCAGGGGCTTCGCCTTCCAGATCGAGAATGTCGTTGACGAGTTCACCTACAAGCTGGAGGACTGCAAGCATGGAGGGTTCGCTGGCAAGATGAAGAAGAGGCTCAAGCATATCAAAACCTGGCGCCGCTTGGCAGCCAAGCTCCAAGAAATCGATGTCAAGCTGAAAGATGCCAAGAGGAGGAACCAGGATTACGCCGTCACTAGCAGATTTGCTTCTTCTGCCAGATCGACGAATCAAGGTCAAGCTCTTCACTTCACCAGGGATGAGGACCTTGTGGGGATAGAGGAGAACAGGGACAGGTTGATACGCTGGCTGACCGTCAGCGGTGGTAGTGGTCATGGTCTGGAGCAGAGCAACGGCAAAGTCACCACGGTGTGGGGGATGCCTGGTGTTGGTAAAACCACTCTAGTTGCTCATGTGTACAACACAGTAAAAGTGGATTTCGACGCGGCGGCGTGGGTAACTGTGTCGGAGAGTTACCGTCTTGAGGATTTGCTGAAGAAGATTGCCACCCAGTTCGGCATCACAGTCGACGTCGCCGACATTGAGATGAGAACCTAGCAGAGTCCATCCACAACTACCTTCAAGGTAAAAGGTTCATCATGGTCCTGGATGATGTTTGGGCTGCGCGCGTGTGGTCGGAGATAAGGAATGTCTTCCCAACGTCTAACTGTACCAGCCGATTTGTTATCACATCAAGAAAGCATGAAGTGTCACTGTTGGCAACTAGGGACTGTGCAATTCACTTGGAACCGCTACAAGAACATCACTCCTGGCTGTTATTTTGCAATGGAGCCTTTTGGAATACTGATGACAAAGAGTGCCCGGTGGAGCTGCAGGAATTGGCTCGCAAGTTCATAGCAAAGTGTCAAGGTTTGCCTATTGCTATTGCTTGCATTGGTCGCCTACTCTCCTGGAAACCCCCAACTCCTGCTGAATGGGAGGATGTGTACAGGGGTTTGGATACACAATTGGCGAAAAATATGATCCCCGATGCTCATATGATCCTAAAGGTCAGCTTGGAGGACCTTCCGTATGATTTGAAAAATTGTTTCCTACACTGTGCATTGTCTCCAGAAGATTATGTGTTAAAGAGGAGGAAGACAATGAGGCTCTGGATTGCTGCAGGGTTTATCAGGGAAAAAGATGAGAGCAAAACATTGGAGGAAGTGGCAGAGGGATACTTGGCTGAGCTTGTGAACCGAAGCCTTTTACAGGTAGTGGAAAGGAATTATGCCGGACGACTGAAATACTGCAGGATGCATGATGTCATACGCCTTCTTGCCCTCAACAAAGCGAAGGAGGAATGCTTCGGCAAAGTTTATAATGGCTCTGCTACTGGAGCATTCTCTGTAGATGGTGCACGTCGCATATCGGTCCATGGGGGAAATCTTGAACAACTGAGCCGATCAGGCACAACACATCTCCGTGAACTCCATGTATTTGAGAGGTATATCGAGGTCGGTTTGCTGAAGCCTATCCTAACATCTTCGAAACTGTTGACGATGTTAGATCTTCAAGGTACCTGTATCAAAATGCTGCCCAATGAAGTATTCAATTTGTTTAATCTGCGCTATTTGGGTCTTAGAGATACTAAGATGGAAAGCCTGCCTGAGGCAGTAGAGAGGTTGCAAAGCCTGGAAGTCTTGGATGCTTCCAAATCTAAGTTGACGTATTTGCCAAGCAGTGTTGTAAAACTTAATAAGTTGAGATACCTGTATGCGTGGTCTGTTGTTGCATCTGAGGAATTTGAAATTGGAAATCTAGGTGGAGTCAAGGTGCCTAATGGCATACAACAGTTGGTAGGACTGCGGGCTCTTCAGTCTGTCAAAGCCACTCCAGAGTTTCTGCGTGAAGTTGCAGCTCTGATAGAGCTAAAAACATTTGGTGTCTGCAACGTGAGGAGTGAACAATCTGCTGACTTGAGCAATGCTATCACCAGAATGAGCCATCTTGTTCATCTCGAAATTGCTGCTGCAGCTGAGAATGAGGTGCTGCAGTTTGAAGGTCTATATTTACCTCCAACCCTTTCTTCGTTTGGTTTAGCAGGGCAGCTAGAAAAAACATCGATACCTCAGCTTTTCTCTTCTTGGTCACACCTTAATAGCCTCACTCGATTGCACCTGGCATTCTCCAATATTGATGAGCAAACCTTTTCCTTTCTGCACATGTTACGTGGTCTACGCTTTCTTGAGGTAATGAAGGCTTTTGAAGGGAGGAGGTTGGATTTTTGCGCAGGGTCATTTCCAAAACTTCGATTTCTACACATATGGGGCGCAGCACAACTCAACCAAGTTAGAATAGAAGAGGGTGCGATAAAAACCCTCGCTGAGCTATGGTTCACAGACTGCCCTGAGCTAAAGTTTCTTCCAGATGGCATCGAACACCTTGCAGCCCTTGAGAAATTAATTCTGAAAGACACGTCCGAAGAACTGATAAAGAAGCTCCGGCAGAAGAGAGATTCAGATGAATGCAGCGAAGATGTAATGAAGATTAGCCACATAAGGAATGTTACAGTTGCACTGAGCCATAATGGATTTGAGGAAAGGATTTGGTGATCGTCACCATTCCCAAGGTCAGGGTTCACTGTTTTGTTTTCGTGCATATATATATCATATGTTGGCAGAATCAAGTTAGCAATTGGTAGCTAGTAATGACTGATGTGAATTTGTTATTGAATTTGCCTCCTCAAGCTACTTAATGTGATCCCCTTCTCCATGTTCATGTGTATCTTTTTCACCTAGACTAGAATTATGCAACTATATAGCTTGTAACTGGTAGGATTGATCATGCGTAATATAAGTTCTAGTTCCTCCTATGAGCGTGCTCTTTGGTTTAAAGTCTGGCAAAGAATATGGATGTATGCTTACATACCTGTGCATGCACTTCTATTTAAAAAGATCCATCCACTCTGTGATAATTACAGATTCTGTGCTGCAATGTCAAGCACACTTTGATCGCTCCTATATTGGTCTGCCAGACTGCTCCGTATTGAGGCTCTGATGGGGCGAGCAGAATTCAAGCCGGGCAGGCCACGAGGTGTTGCACTTGTTTCTCAATGAAATTCTGGGCCATTCCTTCTTACTGTACTTACTCCATATCAAAGACGACACAAGACAGATGGCTGCAAATATTCCTTCTTACCTTGGCGTTCGTGCTCTGCAACGATGTTGGTGTGATGTTCTTCTGCTCATCAGTTAGCGGTGGTTTCTGTTGCCTACCTACATCTACTCCCTCCGTTCGGAATTACTTGTCTCGGAAATGGATGTATCTAGAACTAAAATACATCTAGATACATCCATTTCTACGACAAGTAATTCCGAACGGAGGGAGTACTTCCTGGGCGTTCGTGCTCTGCAACTTTGTGCTGCATGCAAATTATAAAGACCGTATTCAACTTTGTCAGTGTTGTGGTGGATCACATGCCCAGAGCAATTTTGTAAGTGAGCTGAATTTGTGGATTCAGTTTTATATACTGGCTCAGGATTCTGAATATTTGAGTATTCTTGGGGCTTCTGAGGTGGTAATCAAATTGAGTTCATAGCAAGCAATTAGTGTTGTTGCTGTATGAGTGTTGTCTATACTGAATAAATATTTCTGCTGTGGAAGCAGGCAACACGACTGAAGTGTTGTCAGTTGTTCCAGTGACAGTATGTTTTCAGTTTGACTTCCGTCGTCATGATCGGTTGATCAAAGGCTGATCAAGTGAAGCATTACACTAGTTCAGAGTTGCCGATTGGGTTGGGACTGTTAATCCGCTGATGAGGCGTTGCATTTTAATCTCTTATTGACACGAGTGCAGTGCCATCCTGAAGCCTTGGCCTTGATATGCACTGTCATCGTTGTAAAGGCCTGCAAGTACATTGTGGCGGTTAGCGGCGGGCCGAAGTATATAGAATCTAGTAGTACAGCAGACGTCTGACTCAAGGGAGAAAGAACTACTGTACCTTAGATCGCTAATTAAGTACTCCCTCCGTCCCAAAATTCTTGTCTTAAATTTGTCTAGATACGGATGTATCAAGTCACGTTCTAGTATTAGATACATCCGTATCTAGATAAATCTAAGACAAGAATTTTGGGACGGAGGGAGTACTACTTAGAATAGCATCAGGGATCGCTAATTAAGGTTGTACTGTACATCTTATTTATTTGGATTCAAATTTGCCCCAGATGGCAAGGTCTTGAAATGGCCGTTCTTCTCATCCTGTAATCAACTGCAGATGGTAAGCATCAGTATTTTTTTATCCTTATCAACACAAAGTGGCAAGGACTTCCAGTCAGCGGTTATTTAGATAAATTAACGAGCTTCCATTTGGCGACCTTAGACGGTTCTTTTACCATTGGACTATGCAGGTGTTTCCGTGATGACAATTTCTGACCACAACATTATTATTATTCCACTTGCAACACTTTCGGCTGTGTGAGATGAGTATTTTGCTCATCAGTTAGTGGTAGTTCCTGTTGCCTGCATGCATACTAGCTTTAGCATGGTCAACTTTGTTCTTGAGAGCTGTAAATTACAAAGACTATTCAGTTTCATGATGAAATTGGGGAGCCACAAGCTATACTCCTGTTATCAATTTTTTTGTCTTATTTGTCACATCGGAAGCAGAATTAATTGGCTTTTAAGTGTTTGTTGATAGCATGAGTTGGACATTGATTGAAACAGTTTTTTATATACACTATCATAATTGAATATGAAACAGTTTTCTTATACAGTATCATAGTTGAACCTACCCCCTGCCATTGATTAAAACAGTTTTTTATTTAGAGTATCGTATTTTAATATGTATTGATTGAGACAATTTTTATAGGTGAAGCTGTTTGTCACAATCTCTGTTCACCTAATATGTATTGATTGAAACAGATTTTAATATGTATCACTGACCAAGTTTTGGTTATGCTTCAAGATTATCATCTCATAGTATGGTAATTCTATATGAAGGTTTTTGGTCTGTAGGTGGTTAGTTGCTTGAAATGCCTAACCTATTAACCTTTTTATTTGTTCAACCTTTATTTTGATAGGTATAATTCTGTTTTTTTAATTTCAGTGTAATGGAGTATGGAATGAATTGCTGTTGACAGTTTTTATTCATCTCTAATGAATTCATTTTCTTAATCTCTTGTTGACATGAGTGAAGGGGAGCCTTGGCGCAGTGGTAAAGCTGCTGCCTTGTGACCATGAGGTCACGGGTTCAAGTCCTGGAAACAGCCTCTTGCAGAAATGTAGGGAAAGGCTGCGTACAATAGACCCAAAGTGGTCGGACCCTTCCCCAGACCCTGCGCAAGCGGGAGCTACATGCACTGGGGCTGCCCTTTAATCTCTTGTTGACATGAGAAAGGTGGGAGATTAGTAAGCAAAAGACTGTCATTGAAGCCTTGGCCTTGATATGCAGTGACATCGATTTATCAACAAGATACCACTTAAACATCTTCAACTCTACCATCTCCCATGGCAAGGGCACCTGTCCCACCTGGTTTCTCAAATACATTTGTGGAGAAAAAGGTTCAGTTCCAGTCGACCAACATTGCGCTTGAACCAAAGGTGCACATCTTGGCATTGTTTCAGTTTGATTAGAAAAGAATTTTTCATCGAAATACCTACTCTGTAGTCGGCACCTTTACCTACTAATCAGTTTTATTAGAAAAGAAATTAGTTTAGTTACTTTCTTCTCTCTCTGACTGAAGTTTATTTACTTCACTGCTGGACTCGTACATACTAATGTCAGAAGGATCACAGTTTTTATTCGACTCTAATGGATTTGTCTTTTATCTTTTAATCTCATTGACATGGGCGCAACAAAGCAGTGGACTTATCCCAAAGCCTGGCCAGCGCCCCCTCCCCTCACCCTGTGGCGTGCCATATAGTAATGGCCCCACGCCCACATATGAAGGAGGATAGTCAACTTTTGTTTGCAAGAATATATGTAGTGTTGCTGCTGGATTTTTAAAAAAGATTGGTGTTATTATTTTGACATATGAGACTGACATAGCGACATGTTCATTTTACTGGCTTGACCTAGAAATTTACAATTTAATGTACCAGCTCTATTAGCATCATCAATCCTTTAGTATTGACTATGGAAAATTTTAGAAAAATCACATAATTTTTCTTTCGTCTAAAGTTTCCCATCCTGGTCTATAGTCCCACCTTTCTCCTTGACCCCTACGGTGCTCATCCCCATCAGGTTCCTGAAGTTATTTGCAAAATTCTGGAATTCAATGTTCCATATATTGATATAGTGTTAGTTACATCACAGGTAATTTCCTTGTTTACCACATAGTTGACAAATATATTTTTGGCTACCAGATGAGGTGACTGGTACTTCGCGGATGAAAACTTATGAGGTACAACTTCACCAAACAATCAAACATATATATTTGCTGGGAATTATTCTGTTCACACTGTTTAAAACACACTTCCAAACTACAAAATGGATAAGATTTAAAAACAATTACAAACCAAGTGAATAATGAAGTTGGATGTCTTCTTCTCATTAGGCGCCCATTTCACCTTGGTCCCGATAAGGTTGATGCTTGAGGTTGAACTGAATACGCGGATATATTATCTTGAACAGGCATGACTGAATTTGCATCGATAAATCTGTGAAGAATTGCAGTTTCTATGCTTGTCACACCATCCAATACCTTGATCACCGTTGACATTGAAGGCCTTTGACAGCCATCATTTAGCAAGCACCACATTGCAAGCTTCATCATTTGAATCACCTGCTCCTGGTGTGAGAGCATGTCTTCACTATGCTTGTCAATCAGATCACTCAATTGATTATCTCGAGCCTTTCCTCGTAACAAATTGATGAGGTTGGAAATCGCCTCAGGCAGAGAATTATCAATATTTTTTCTCCCACTTATTATCTCCATGACAACTACCCCAAAGCTGTAGACATCAACGTTTTCAGTG